GCTGCCTCTAAGTGCAGACCCGTGTGGCAAGCTCAGCTGCTTTTGGCAGTTACTTTATATCAGCTCCCGTCAGCTAGCTCAGTATCGGCTCGCTTTCTTCGGAGGTGGATTCCGAAGGTTTGGTGAGCTGTCGAACGTTTCATCCGAGGACCCGCCAACTGCACGCCTGAATGACACGCCAGAGGCGGTTCTGGAGTCGTTCTGTCACGTATACTTACAGGGGTCCGTGCACAGGTACAGGTTAATGCATACCATACGGTGGACTAGTAGTGAGTGTTTTGTTACAGTCACTTAAGGCTACTTGGTGTTCTTGTATTCCAATCGCCAGCTAAAGATCCATGAGTTCCGTTAACTAGGACAAACCACGTATATTTTTTTAGGTAGACGACGGCTGAATGCTCACCCTAGTCTGGCTGTTCTTTAATCCGCGCGACTATGGTCGGTTTTGACTATTTTCTTCGAAACGACTGACAGTTATGGTCCCGATGCATGAAACGTTATTTCAAAACTTCGTAGCACTTCATCCGATGAAGATTCTGGGTGCCTATTTCTAATGAACTGATTAACGGGCTGCCAGATTTCCACTGATGTAGCGACCCCCCCGCCGCTCTGTCGTGCAGCGGCAGAATATTGGCGGAGCACGTGTCTGGGCATTTAGCTAGTAACTGTGCTGTCAAGTATGGTGTATTGTACATCTCATGCATATAAAACTGGTTGTTATGATCCTGATGCACGAAAGGTCCTCTCAAAACTCTGTCGAACTTATTTCGGAGGCTCCATCCGATGAAGTTTTTGGATGCCCATTTTTTGTGAGTCGAACGACAAGGTGCCGGATTTCTGCTGATGAATCGAACCCCTCGCAGTTGTGTCAAACAGCGTCAGAATATCGGTAAAGCGTGTGTGGGCTCTAGTACTTCGGTTGCTGATATGCTAAATCATACAACATGAATACTGAAATTCACAGCAAAAGGACCGTTGTCTTGTACATAAGCACGCCCTCCACCCTGCTTCAAAAAAAGAAACCATGAATACTCACTGGATAACAGTTGTTAATTCGCCTTGACGTTTCAGGATGGGTTTAGGCCTTAACTCTAATTTTCAGTTTTTTCTCCTTTGCATCTTTGAGCTTACAGTTTTCTCACTAGTGTCTAATTAGATTTCGGAATAACAGCCTTCGCCCATGCCTGCAAAAACGTTTGAGGTTACACCCATTTTTGACTACTTGGCTGAGCCGTTTCGCCTTCCCAAAGCTCCCTCTATACTATCCTACTCACCTAGCGCCACTACAAACAAATTGTGTTTCATAAAATTATACAAGTTTGTTTCTTACGGTAGTCGCGAATACATTTTTCCAAATTTTTATGGCGCTAATAACTGCCTTTATATTCATCAATAAAGTTAATCCTAAAATATGCATTACCCATGTGCAATGCCGAATTCCATCGAGCAAAACGTGAACATCTAATCCACCTAGGCATAAAAAGTAGCCATTAGGCCAATTTCTCTTACAAAAGCCAGTCGACGGCGTAAAGGTAGGCCGTGTTTGCCGTTGAGACACCGGCCGAAGAGAGGATGGTCATTGTGATGATTATGCTGGCGCTTGGTATTGGTGGGATCGCCAGCGCGGAGACAGACGTTAGTAGCCTGTTAAAGTAGGAAATAACCCCCGCCTCTCTGTCGTGCAGCGGCAGAATATTGGCGGAGCCCGTGTCTGGGCATTTAGTTAGTAACTGTGCTGTCAAGTATGCATGGTATCTTGTACAACTCATGCACATAATGCTGGCCGCCTGTTGACAGTTTGTGCATATTAGGCGATAATTCCGCTGTGGCTGATAAATGTCTACCTAAACTTTGATCGCAAATTTTAGTCTGAGTCCATAGATCTCCAATAGGCTGATTTATTTTGAGTTGCCGATTAATTTCTGAGGGAATTAAAAAGATGAAGTGGCTACTTATTTGACTTGTTTGTAAGTAAATAAACAGGAGGTGCGAAAACCCCAGGAAACGATTAAAAAGACAAATAGTTTCAGTCACTGGCTGATCTCATGAAGCGTGAACTAAAATTGTGAGCTGTGTCTTCGATTAAGAATGACTGATTAAATAGACTTATAATAATGATTGTTATGCAGCATATTCTACAGGATAGTTCAGGCACGACAAGTCGTTAGCTTTTGAATGCACATCTTTTTGGTCGCCTGCACTACTTATTCGAGTACTTATGTTGGCAGGTGCAGCAACGGCTGTGCTAAATGAGGCCTCTTGTCTTAACACCTGCAAATGCGCATTTTAATATTGATTTGTTGATGTGAGCATGAATTATAAACAAAATCATTCTTCTTTGTGCTCAGTTAGTAGCAAACAACGTTTATTCGGACTTAATGCCTAAAGAAAGGACATCTTCTCGTTTTAAAGTATTTTCTAGTTATGGGCTTTTTGGTATTCCACGAAATCTCCATTTCAATAGCATAATGTACGTCCGTTTATTAATGAGCTCCATGAAGTATAGAACACAATCAGCATCCTATGCAACACCTCATGAGCCCATGTGACATTATCTTAAAGTTGCCAATAAATGCTTGGCTTTTCTCGTACGGAAAACCGTAAACGCCGATGCGACGGTAGATCCCGGCTCAAAATGTATTTGGAATTTGAAAGAAATTTTCAAAATCGGTGGCATCTTCCCTGTGTGCATGAGACTTAAAGGAGGCCCGATCTGCTACGAGAGGAGTATGAGGAATAATATCTTTGGTTACGGTCTCTTCAAAAATTTTTGAATCTGTAGCGATGTCGAAAAAAAGCAATATAAAATCGCATTCTAATAAATAGTCATTATGTACGAAGGGTAAAATTTGCGGACGGCCGAAAATAAGTTCGGTCAAAAGCCAACGTTCTGCATGCCTGAAATGTCTTGGGATAATGTTGCGTGATAATCAGTTTTACAAAGAACCCTGAGCAATTCCTCCTAACCGAAAACACTTCATAATTTTAGTTAACATTCCATGAGATCGGTCATTAAATGCATGCATTCGATCAGGTCTCCTCAGGCTAGTGCATTTACTTGGGAACAGGATAGGGTAAACCATATCGGCGACTAAAGAACTTGATTAATTCATATTGACCCAACTGTGACAAACTCGGCGCCTCGGTAGGATTCGAACCCACGACAGTCAGGGAAGGCTTTAATACAGCCCACGCTCTAGCCACCTGAGCTACGAGACCCCGCCGGACGACGCGAGTTAAATCACACTTGGGTCAAGTTATCCGCGAATTACTTAGGGAATCGTGCTTGAGCAGTCAACTTACTGTAGCAGATTTGGTGGATTCCAGACGTAGCAGTAGGTTGGGTGGGTAACTTGACGCAAAGTTGATTTAACTCGCGTCGTCCGGCGGGGCCTCGTAGTTCAAATATTCATTTAACCTCGCAGAATGAACCTATAAAGATTAAGTTCGACCGGCTTGCTCGAAGTTAGCGACTAGAGACTGAGGAGATTAGAAAACTAAAACTAACAAGCCTCTACATTATGCGTTTTACCGTTGACAGAGCCACCAATGACGTATTCCAGGGCGTGGCGTATGCAATGCATAAAGGAGGCCAATAGTGCCTCAGACGCACATGCAACAGTCATTGACGTCGGGGCCAATAAGACTGAGCCCCCACTAAATAAAAGGGATCAAACCTCGAGCCTCGCCAGAAAATTTGGAATTTTTTGTCCTTCTCCGTGCACTTTACGGGCTAAACAGTCATCATGTCCAGCAAGGAGTCAGTCGCAGATGAGGTTTCTGAGCAAAAGCCACAAAATGGTTGTCTGAGATGTCTTAAGAACAATCTCTTCATGATAACTATAATCGCGGGTGTGCTTGTTGGCTTCGCCATCGGTTTTGGTCTCCGAGAATTGCCAACTATCAGTGAAGATTTGAAAATCTGGATAGGTGAGTCGGATATTCTCTTCAATAAAATTACGGTTTATTTTCTTCGAAGACAAGCAATTTTGTGTTTTTATACTGTAAATGGCCTCACTTAAGACGGTTGGATCATTGGTTGAATTTGCCTGTAAGGAAAAAGCGCAGAAACATTTCCTCCATTCAGACGCGCAGAGTTAGAGGTTTTGTGGCCATTTTATGCATCTATTCAGTCGCTGACCCAATTAAGTTTAATTCTCCGTAAACCTTCTGAAATATAGTTTTAGCTGGGCTGGAAATCGATGAGAAAGAAATAAAATGGGGTGATATTATTAACAATTAAATTGTAATGAGCTTTTTCACAAGACCAAAACGAACACTGGTCGTAGTTGAAAAAGGAGAGGAGAACTATCGAACCCGAGCTACCGACTTATGTTCGTAGAAACGGCGATAGACACTCTCTTAAGAAAGAGAAACGGACAAGCGAACAAATTTCTTGCTGACTTTTGACTGAATTTTGCCCTCGTCACTACTTACTTACGGAGTATTTTCTTTTGCTGTCCGGATGAGAATATGTATGTTCCAAAGTGAAAATATTTCAAGTGCGGTAAGCTTTGTTTAGTAGAACACTCAAAGATAAATTAATTTTCCCTGAAAGAAAAACACGCTGAGATACGTAACCAAAGTCCAGGACAGGTAATAGCAATGGAAATTTCTCTAATATGTTGCGGTGTCCATTTACGGATATTTTGTTTGTTAGAACTGCGTGGACACATTTCCTGCATATTAAAAGGACATTTACTTAAAGGAGCTGGACGAGCGAGCAAAATGCGTAACGCTAAAGGCGTCCAAAGACTCCAATATAGATTTCTGTCATTACGTTTCCCGACTTAAGTCATGTGCCGTATAATCCAGGGGAAGATAAGTCAGTTGTCATCATCTTAGTAATAGGTGACATGCAGATATTACTATAGTGTTTTGTTCAGTTATTTTCATGAATCAAACAGGACTTATCTTCATTGAAATAATTTTTTCTGGACACACCTTTCAGAGTCAGCTTTACAAATGTCCTTACGTGGCTATGAAAGGAAAAGGCGATGGATGTTAGAATTTAGGAATGACTTTAAAGCAAATGTCTAGTTTATTATGCAGGACGACGAGGGTCGGGGATGTTTCCCAGAAAACGAGGCTATAGCATAATTAACAATTCAAACCCCCTCCCAAAAAACTTCAGTTATCCGAAAATTTAGTTAATGTAATTATTTTTGGACATGTATCTGGCAAACAGCAGAAAAAAGAATAGAGAAAATGATAATGCATAACTGACAAAATTGCAAGACAGTCTTAAAAGTCAACTCACGTTAAGTATTCTTTGCCATTTGGAAGAATTCGGTCGGTCTGCGTAATGTATCCAACACCGATGAGCGAAGCGAAAATGCAGCTGGATGGCAAATACGAGACCGACACAATTTGCACACCCCAAGACCCCATGTTTTAGTAGTGCATGGCCGTTAGCAAACAAAAAACTTGCTACCAAGAGTAAATGAAATAAGTCAATAAATCAACACGGTCTCGCGAGAGGTTTTAAGGAATCTGTGTCGTAGCGCCCACGGATTGTCATGGAGATGCACAAGTTGTCTTTCAAACTAAGGAATAGAAGGCAGACCTGAGCTACTTTTCATATTCGGGCTGGAAGGATTCTCAGGCAACGAACCTTAGCAAGCAATCCGCGCAGTTAGGTACCAAAATATATAACTTCCTACGGTTTTTTAGTTCTTGTCATTTAAATATCTAAATCCCGATGACGCATTATGTAGGTTGTCCTTCACTACATAGCTACTATCCTTTATTCCTGTTTGTGAGTGCCTTTTTAAATCACATTGAGCGGCTTCTTAACTTTGGAGCTATGAGAAATCATAAAAGCTGACAATAAATAGAGAGAAGAGATGAAATGTATTAAAATACTCAGTGGCTGTTTGCCTACATGACCAGTTTTGCCATGGATCGAAAACGAAATACAATGGACAGCTCGATCATTTTTCTACCCAGAATCTTCAGCGACGCCAGCATTCCTTCCGGCAATCAAGATAGATCATTAAAAGGCATTCACGGATGACTTCGGCTGAAGTTAAATGGGCGCCAGCCTGAAGCTCAGAAGTTGAGTCCTGGCTGACTGGGCGACTGAACTCAGTGTTAAAGCTTGGGCGTGTTAGGCTTATGGTGTAACGTAATCTATTGTTGACTTAAAATAAGCCAAAATAAACTATTCGAGTTTTTGCCTTTTGTCAGCGATCCTTCTAAACTATGAATTACTTGATATATGACAATAAAAATATAATCAAGCAGACCAATCTCCGATCCTAGATGTTTCGTACTTTCTCATTTAAAAGACTTGAAATGCATTCAAAAATAGCAACCCCCAGTGAATGCAGTTGATCAGATTTTCGCAAAGAAGACATGCGCATCTTTCCCATACTCTAATGGTGCCTAAAGAACTTAATCACTTCCTCCGTTCTTTAGCAATGCCTGGCGACATCTACATCCGGGTTCTGAAACTGACCATTTTGCCGTTGATTATGTCAAATGTGATTGTTGGTGAGTAATCAGGACCCATGTCCTTGTTTAGCTGATGAAAAATATTCCACTTAGCTTAACTTCAACTGAGAAATTTAACTTTTCCAAAGCAGCTTTACTCACTAATTCCCTTCATGTTTCTTCAGTCATTGCCAAATTGGACCCAAAGGAAAACGGCAAAATTAGTTTAGTTGCCTTCATCTACATTGTGATTGCAAACATTGTTGGAGCAGCTGTCGGGGCGGCCTGCACCGTAATCATTTCTCCAGGTAAGAACGTGGCGGGTTACCTTCAACTTATTGAGCTGGAACAAATACCCGAATGTTAGAATGATTACGGTGAATTTGACCTTTTTCTGCTTGTTCGAGTAATCAGTTTTTTAGGACATTACCAATCTTTGAAGAATTACTTTGTTGTAAAGATATTTGCATGAGGAGCGACTAAAATAGTGGCAAGAGAAATCATGATACAGTTTCGAGTATTCCCGGGCATGGAGTTGAAAAGTAGCCACGAAGTAGATATATCAGGCTCTTTCCTCTGTTGGTGCAGTCGGCGCCAGAAGCACGTGGGCTGCTGAAAAATGTTTGTGATGCCTATTATCAGTGAAGACCAAAGAAAGAAGCTTTATCTTCGAAAAAACGTCTCAGACTTTACGGTTGAACACGTAGAGGGGAAGTTAATTACGGCAGTAATAAAAGGTTTTATGCTCATGTAAGAGCAGCCACGCGTTTCTTGGGTCAATGTGGAATAAAGCTTCCATGGGACATATTTTAAATTTTTCCTTGATAGTTTAATTGAGAAACACATAAAGGCATACTAAGACGCATTGTGTATACCATGGGAGGTGCTTTCACTGATCAAGTTACGAGGTATGTTCCGCTCATTGTTCCTTGGGGTTTACTCTAACGCCCTCACCAACGTTACCAAGGCGACCAATGGCCGTACAGGGTGGAGTATGGTCAAGGACAACAGACAGTCCGGCTTATAAACCGTCCCCAGCCAGTCACATCCTATTCAAGGTTTTGCGAGACTTGGGGTCCAAACGCTGAATTTTTGATCATTGAGCGTTATTAGCTCCATCGCTCTACCACTGAACCACGGACCCGTTGTTCTACTGGTTGCCTAATGACCAAGAAATCCGGGTTCGCATTCCGGGTTCCGTAAAACCTGCAGTTGAATGTGGACCTCTGATTACGACTAATGGTCCAGAGGAGACAAACGCAATCTCTCTTGTCTTTGTCGGTACTCCTTCATGTATATATACGAGTACAACTCGATTTTTCCGAAGAACCTCTTCCTTTGTCATGTATATATATATATACAGAATGGTATTACTGACAAAAACAAGGGAGACCGGAATGGCCACTTTTGGCTTTTTAACCATCGTCAATAAGCCCCCCACATCCCCTAGGTGTACAATACCTGGAATTCGACCCGCCGCTGTATGGCTGTTGGTTGGGCTCGAGAGAGAACCCTAAGACACAACTGGACGAGTGAGTTCCGAACACGATTGGTGACTGTCTCCCTACGTGTACATATATGTGCATATAATTTAATATGCAAGCAGCTTCCTAAAAGTGCAACAGACCAGATGCAGCCAACCGTTTCACGGTCGCTACCGACCATCAGTATGTCACAGGCCTTATGAAGTGAGGTATATAGACATGTCAATTAGGTGTGCGACCCTCGCTGTTGTGTTTGGGATCTCACTTGAATCCCTTCTGTCCGGCCGACGGTCTGTTACTGACGACAACGAACGTTGTGCCATAGGGCACATGCATGTTTGACCGTCGATTCATACGATGTCCACCGTGTGCTACATAGCAAGTTGCAGCAGGCACGGCGACTTGCGCGTTAATTAGTTTATTGTGATATTGGACTTGCACAGTATCTACCGTACTCTTTATCTCCCCCTCCCAACCTGGACTCGGTGTCAAGACAGAGTCGCGAAGACCGGAGGCGGGGGAGGACACATACCACCTGTAATATCTAAGCAGCTCACAGTGCGGTTCACACATTTACTTGGCATGCATATATACACAGTTGTCCAATGTTGATTGATGGGTATTCTCAGGTTTAGTTTGATAGAAAAGATAGATACCGTCGCTAGTAAAACACGTTTCCTACGTTTTGTTATGTCTTAGAAAGAAGTAGCGCTCAAAAGGTCCATAAATTTAATTAACTGCTGCCATCCAGTCCGCAGGGAATTAAACTTTTTTTCGTGTTCAAACTTCAAATGTCGGTTTGTGCAAGAAAAAATACCCATATCCAATTGATAACTGAAACTATGATGCGGCATTCTGCGACCCTTATAGATTTGCTGTCTAGGAAGATATTTAGTATCAGTATCAGTATATTTCAGGGAAAGTAGGTGTGTACCTTTGAAATCCGTATTGGTTACATGCAGAGGATATATATGGAGGAAATGGAAAGGAAGTAACATGAAAGAAATGCGAGGGGAATAGCAAAAACTGTACAGATGAACACAGAATATCATGCGTTAACAGAGTTTAAAGGCACATTAACTTGCTTTGTTGATCAAATACAGCGGACAGTTGAGGCACATTTAAGCTACGGGAAAAAAAGTAAAATTGTTTAGTCTACAGGCATCGTGGTGAATGCGAACAGCGGTGTGCGACGTGGCCCAAACTTAATAAATTACATAAACATATATTACTTAAATGTTGGAGTTGCATCGTTATAACACTAAATTGTCAGCGTTGGCCGTCAAGGTGGACGTAGTCCGGCGTTATTGTGGTGCGCGCTACAATGCTAATCTAGTCTCCATTTAAAAGTATCTACCGAGCCCGACATAACAACATCCTCGGGCAAGGCATTCCAAGCTGCAACCACTCTGTTGGAGAAGAACTTTCGGGTGTCTTGCCGGGCACCAGCCACACGCAGCTTGAGTAGATGACCTCTCAGGTTAGTCGTAATCGCGACTCGAAGAAGTCTCCAAACGCGAGGCAGCAGCCCTCATTGCGCACGATGCGGAAACCTTGTATCAGGTCCCCACATAGCTGTCTGTAACTCAAAGGAAGGAGGCCAAGATTAGCTAATCGTGTTTCGTAGGGTAGTGACCACTGCCCAGATACAAGTTTCGTTGCTCGCCGTTGAACTTTTTCGAGTATGCCCAAGTCTTTAGCGGTCCAGGGTCGCCATGCCTGGATAGCAAACTCCAGATGCGGTCGCACAAAAGTTTGAAAGACCTTGGCGAAGCAGTCTTCATCAAAGGAGGAGAACGCCCGTTTGACAATGTACAGCATGGACATCGCCGACTTGGCTACCTTTGAGCATTTCAGCGAAGGCTTAAGCGAGGTTGTGATCCATACACCCAAGTCCTTCTGGGCGTCGACTTCTTGCAGTGGTTTGCCAGTCAGACGGTAGACCGTGTGGTTAGGAGAACTGGTTCTGCCGACGCGTAGGATGAAAGGCAGTGGACCAAGTCGCTGAATTTCAATACTTTGGAGGCATTCTTTTTAGTGAGATTATTTTAAATGAAAAGCCGATAGCGTCAAGATTTTGAGTTTATGGGCTTATATTCGTCTAGATCAAATTACACCCTCTTGCTCAATTGGATAGCAACACGTTATAAGGATACAGTCAGCCTATTGGGAAGTATCTACATCAAAAAACCTCCAGGTCGGACTTGTCCTATCGCAAATGCGGCGCTACCTGTTAAACCCAAAATAGTCAGCGCTTTAAAGTCGTTTCGATTGAGAGTGAAAATGCTATTTTTGTTTTTGCAAAAAGGTCGTCTAAAATCAGACCAACAAAACCTTACATCTGATCCCACAAAAAAGAGTCCAACCACCTCGGATGTCTTCGCCGATCTTTTTTTGTGAGTCTGTTTTCAGCTGCATTTAATTTTTGCGTTTGTAATAAGCAGTGGGCTGGAGTGTATGTTAGTACATTACACAAGGGGCATAGTACAGACTTCGGCAAAAGCTATCACATGCTCACGCATCCCAACAGCTCAGCCTTCAGAAACGAAAAGGTAGGCAGTTTGTAACTTATTATGTTGAAAACCTATGTTTTGTTTGAGACGACAAATAAACCAATTTAAAATACCTGCTGTATGGAAATTAGCAGGAAAGTTATGACTTTCTTGGTAAAAACACAACGCTTCATTTACGTCTCAACCCCAGGAGACTTTGCTCGCTGTTAGCCTTAGTTGGTCAGTGAGTAGATAGTCGCGCCAAGTCGTCGATTACGGCACTAGAAAAAATGAGTTATTACGTCCACACACTTGGTCCTGTAAGAAGTGCTCCCGAAACGGTTACTCTTTGTAGAGCCAACAAGTAATAACTATGAAGGTATACCTACCACGTGGAAAAAATAATTAAGTCGTTAATATATGGGATGAGAAAACATGCGTACTTTTCGGAGTTGTTAGATATATAGGCGTGAATTTATCAATGAACGCAAATGACTGAATAATGGCATCTCAAATGAAAGATTACCAAGAAATTCAGCTAAAGTGCTGCTAAAATCGTTTTTTCTTAATTCCCGAAGGAGAAAAATTCAATATTTCGATTGTTACACTAAATGTAAACCTACCCCCTTATTACAATGAGAGAAACTTCGAAAATTGCCTTTTCTCCATTCGTGATATAATCTGTACGCAAAGATTACAAACTTTGCGGAAAAATTCAGGTTTTCTTTAGGCATGTGGAAGGGATCCCAGGTTCACCTGATCCGCAAAAAGAAGAAAATACAGTTCTACTTGAATTTGATGACCATTTTAATAAAAAAACAATTGCTATTTTGCTTACAGGAACGTTTTTCCAGACAACATCGTTGGAATCGCAATTTTTCAGGTAATGTTTGTATGAAAATCTTTTGAAAGATATGCTCCCTGTATCTTCATATTTATTTGTTGACGGCGGCTCCTTGAGTTTAATTAGCTCGTCGTTGATACTACTTGTGCTTGTAATTTTCGAAATTTGGCAGAAGTCATCAACTTCATTGGGAGTTCATTAAAAGACACTATGATTGTGAAGAATTTGAAGTGGTTGCATTTTTGAGGTCGCTGTATTGTTTTGAAAAGTTTATTTCAAAGCGTGATCTTTGGCAGGATTTTACGCTATATTATAGGCTAAGGTTCTTATTGCTTACTTACGTCCTATTTCATGACGTTCCAAGATGTTTGAACAAAAGACTAGGGCCAAGGGTTATTCTCCTTATTTGCAGAAAATGCTAACTGACTTTCTCTTTTCTAGGTGGTGACTAGTTACAAACTAGTGGAATTTAATGAAACCGCAAATCAAAGTGTTTTTAAGAGAGTTACGGCAAACGAAGATGGCACGAACATGATTGGTAAGTTTGACCGTTTTTTCTAACTGAAGGACACTGTAATTAGCTAAACGTGGAGTTCCGTTTTGATACTGAATTTCCTTTCAAGAAATTCAGCGTCCTTAGACCTCATTGTTTACAAGTAATATTCATAACACAACTTCAGTCTATGAAAAACCTTCTGGGCTGAAAATAACCCTAAAGAATAAGGACAAATGTGTGAGTCTCCGGTTCCTGTTACAAAGAGGATAAACATGTGGTCGAAAGAATGACGATAATATTATTCTGGACTTCCGGACTCGTACAGGAGCCAATCCTTAAGGGCCAGAAAATAACAATAACATATGAATAGTTTTGTAGTTTTAGAAAGCGTGAAGAGGGAGGTGGGTGTCCTCGACTGAGGCTGGTGTACGCTGTCCGATCCGCCGTGATCTAGTGGTGCGGTGACCGTGCGGGTCTTTGGCCAGAAACTGGACCCTGTTATTTCACAGCGTGAGCGCAACAAGTTATGGCAGCGGTATATAAATGTGTCTATTGATGGGGTTGCTGTCGGAGAGTCAGTTCAAAATGGTCTTCGCCTTGTGTCATTACCGGCCTGCGAAGTTAACTTCGTGGTCTTCCTCCCGTGTGTGAGTAACAACTTATAAGGGCGGGTGGCCTCTCCGAGCTGAGTCGTTGTGCCGTCTGGCCTGAGTACCAGCAAGGACATTCGAGGCGTGCAATATAGCGAATTGCATCGGATTGCCTACCTGTCTGCTCTAGAAGAGAAGCTACATCATGGGTAAGCTTCACATGCTCAGACTTCGAGTGCGAAGAAAGATTGGTGCTCGTAAGGAGTCACTAGTTGTTGAGGTGGGGTGGTTGACAAGCGTGAAGGTTCGTAAATCACGTGTTGGAAACGAGAAAGTTAGACTGGGCAGGCTTTACTGAAACAAAAGAGCACAATGGAAACTCAGCAAGAGGTTGCAGCCAGCCATTGGGATTCTTAGCCCCTAGCGCGTGAGTTCGCCCTTGCTCTGTCTGAATTGTGTCCGCCTGCAGCATAATCATGAAGGCCACGGCGCTGATTGGCCAGTGTCAGGTCTCCGGCGGCTCCAGCAACGAATTGGAGGGATCACGCTAACGACCGTGAGGGCGGACTGCCACAGTACTTTATCTCCATGACTCTTACGAGATCTGCCGGATGAAGGACAGTGCCCACGCTAAACTGTGAAATAACACTTTCTGTCGATCACGCCTTAACCTCTATATACAGAAGAGGGGGGAAGACAAAATGTGGTGGCTCACGCCCATTTGTCCTCCGTGGACGCTCAGGGAGGAAGCGGCTGATGAGGTTTCCTGGGTAGCTATTCCCTTTTCATTGGTCCTCTAGATGCGTCTTCCTGTATTCATTTCCTCAGTGTCTTTTATCCCTTCGAGGAGTTCGCTAGCACAGCCACGTTTGTGCGTCATCAGCTGGTTGTTTTCAATACTCCTTCTGTGTATTCACTAAAGCGAAGGTCGTCAAATTACTTGTTTGAGGGTCTCTGTGAAAGCCTATTGGTTTGAGACCTTTCATGGATTTACGTGTGTGCCATGAGATACACAATGCGTTGTACAGCTAGGTCTTACGATCTTTTCATGGGTAAGTGATCCGTCAGATCGGTGCACAGCTTTGCTTGAAGGTAGTGCCACTGCATATGCTTCGATCGCTTACTCGCGGACTTGAGAGCCTGCTTATTTCTTAGTTAACCTTCCCCGAATTCCCTTATATTACGTACACCACCAGATGCGCCGGGAAATTCACAACTGGATTAGCAAAAGAACCCCGTAAAATAAGGTCTCATTAAAGGCACTTAGCATGTGAAAAAGGGTCTGTTCGAGGTCACACGCCATAATTAAAAAAAACTAATTTGAGATAAGCTCTTCATCTACAGTGTAAACAGTGATAACGAGAGCCACGTTTATAATTGTGAAAAGTTGAGGATATTCATTCATCATTTCCTTCATATCTGACAAGGGGGACCGCTCTTGAATATTCGGTTCCAAGCACACCACACACCGATACGCTGTTTTCTGCACCACTTGGCTTCGTCAGCATAATACTCGGGGCGTACAACACAGGCCATCATGGAGGCACTAAACAAAAAGCGGCCCGGACGTATCACGTTTCACAAAACCTAACGAAAACCATACGGACCTGGCCAGACTTGCTTTAAACACGATTAGTTTTCTCAGAAGTCCTTAAGGCTTTTTCTATTATTTTAAAATGAGTTGTTTGGGACTTACACACCCGCCGCATACCATAAAACATCGGACATTCATTTGTGACTTTGAAGTCCCCCAGGGCTCAGTAATTGCATGTTTTCGCACTTTCAGGTGTCATTTTCGTTGCTGTTGCTTTCGGTTTGGCGGCCAGCGGAGCTAAAGAAAAGGGCGAGGCCTTCCTGGAATTCTGCGCTTCCATTGCTGATGTCGTGCTGAAGCTCATTCGCGCCTTCCTCAAGTACATTCTTCAGTCTCTTTTGTCGCTAATTTAAGATGCGCAAGCGCTTTTTAGACGTGATGAAACACCAGCCTTACAAAACAGTGACCATAGAAAGCTGAACTGGCCGCCGGTTTGCCCATTGCTTTATTGCATCATGGCGGTTTTCATTAGAATTTTAGGCAGAAACCCAGTTTCGAAGCAAGCTAGGCTCGCCGTATGACCTGACCTCATTAATAAGTATGAAAGTGGAGTGCACTTTTGTCGGTATCAAGACCATACTCAGTCAGTATTTCATATTTGAAGATATATGTATGAATTTCTGCGAGTATCAATATGACTTGACGCATACCGTCTAAAGAGACCATAAAGTATACTTTCAACACATTTATTTTCAAGGATGTGTCAACGTAGCACAACCAGCACATTCGTAAAGCCCTGGTTGACTAAACGTGTTTGCCGTACGCCTAAATATGGATGAAAAGGCAGTGTCATCCTTAAAAACTCGTTCTTGTCCTTTATCCTGACCCTCAACCTTCAAAATAGCCCTATAATTAATTACTGCTACTCAATCTATTTAGAGCCACTCCGGTCGGTGTCTGTTTCATGATTGCCGGGGCCATTATCAAGGTTGACGACATAGCAGGCACGTTTGCCAAACTTGGATTATTCATTGCCACGGTCATTGTTGGAATCGCCGTCCTCTTCATCCTTACATTGATCGTCTACGTCATTGGGTCCCGCAAGAATCCCTTCACAGTCATCCCCCATCTGATGCAAGCCTGGTTCCTCGGTTTTGCCACGACCAGCGCGTGAGTTTTGCTAGTGCAGAAATAACAGAGCTTTTTTACTTTTTGAGTCGTGGGTCTTAAATGAGCGAATGCTGTCCTCATTACCATCGAGGTAGGGAAGACCTGTTGATTAGAAGGATCAATATTTTTTTGGACTGTTGGTTGATACCTTTTGGCAGTTTAGTCTGATGTCAAGTGGGAAGGTTCATCCTTTGATCAAAACTACATGCTAAAATAAGTATTTTTCAAGTTCCCACGGTAGGGCACAGATAGCTCGTCGTAAGGTGGTCGTTTGTGAGGGCCTTGAACATGAACTCCAAGTATTTAATTTGTTAACACTAGTTACATGTAGCTCCTACTGTCCCTGCTGGCAGCCGGTTGAAATTGAACCTATAGTTCGACTCGAAGAAAATAAGATTCAAGAACAAAGTTGATTTAAGTTCAAATCCCAGGTCCATGAACTAAGAACATAGGTATCCGCTGGGGGAGCAAGTTACTCAGCAATAACGGCTTAGAGACCTGCTGTATTTGCTGAAAATGCCTGCTAGGGGATTAATATATATATGACAGGTTACGATCAGGTTACGGAACGTACTTGTTCCGTTGTGCCTTCGAGCTCATACTAGGGACCTCGCAAGCAGTCGCGCAGCGACTAGTAGTAGTCGAAGTAAGTGACGTGGTACTGATAAAGACAAGGGAAACCGGAATGGCTATTTCTGGCATATCAACAGGCATCAGCGGTCATACCCAAGTATGGTTCACTTAAGATTCGAACCCGGGATTTTTGATCATGGAGTTTGACACTCTTCCATCGGGCCACGGGCCCATTGTCCTGTTGGTTGGGATTGGAAATATCATATAGATATATATCTCACAAATATATAGGAAAAGTCCAAAGAGATCAATGTCACCAGGACGCAGCTCAGGATTAAGGTTGTTTACAGCTAATCTGGGCTAAAACACTCGCTGATATGTTTATTTTTCAAAAAATGCGCCAACCAGTGGGCGCGAAACTTTATAAGGAACATTCTCCATGCCAACCAGTACTTGTCAGAATACATGATCAGACCCTGAATGGATTTGTACGTTTTAGCCTTCTCTCTAGGCGGAATGAATTTTAATTTAAATAAATGACATGGAAAATAGGCCCATTAGTGAACACGTCGTTACTTAGCGGTGAATAATAAAGCAAAAATCATGGTCTGACGACAATTCATGATACTAGGGTATATTATAATCAAAAACTTTCTGTGAAGGCGCTGACGGAAGACTTTCGGCAATAAAGAAGAAAAACCAGGTGACGAAATTGCTGACCATCCGGGACCAGTGTTAAGATAATATACTTTCTTCCAGATGCAATTGCATACGTCTTGGTGGAGTTATCTGAGTGATTAGGAAACAAATTCTAATATTCAGCTGAACTTCCGAGAATCTTTCTCTGCGAACTACACGCATATATATCAAATGCTCCCTTCCCTCAGGATGTTAGCGAGCTTCCATTAGCATAAAAGCTGGACGGTGGAGAGTCTGCCTTTGAAGGTAATCCTATCGTAAATGAGCAGACTAAAAATAATCAGGAGGGAGCTTTCAGTGCTTTATAGCTGCATACCGTCACTCCCAGTTTAACCATGCAGAGGATTAGGTATGCGCATAGAAAAAATTAAAGCGGTCTTTTTGATATTCGAAGCTCGTCATCTGCATTTACCTTTTTTCCTCATTTATTAAACTCCCTTCAGCATCGTGACTGTTCCGGAGATATATGAGGGCTGCGATGCCTTACATGTCCGTAAAGGCCTATCTCGTTTCGTGGCTCCTCTGGCGGCAACACTAAAGGCTGACGGATCTGCCTGCTTCATTGTATCCGGTGCCATTTTTGTCACTCAAATGGCCGGCATGAGCGAGCCTGGCAAAATAGTAGTTATTTGGTAGGTTTCAGCTCTGTTCTGTCAGATGCCTCTGCGCATCCTAATTCCGCCCTGTAATAAAAAAAGGAAAAACAACTGCGAGTGAAAGGACGCAGTGAAACTCAGATGAGAAAATGTTAGGACTCCTGTTAACCAGACTTTGGAAGGTAGGTGTGTTGCGAACACAAAAGTCACTACTAACTACCTATGTATCGCAAATCCACACCACAAACTATGTGCGCCAACCAGGCCACGAGCGGCTAGAAGAATAAGGTAGTTTTGCAAAATTAATATTAAAAAGTCCAACTACCCGATCCCGAAGCACGCCTGCGATGTGGGAAATGAGCCAAAGCGTTGTGTCCATTGCGTTAAAACAACACAATTAAAGAAAACTGATCAAGCATCTTAGGCGGCCACCGCGGCTATTAATGTCGCGTTGTTATAATTAAAATCATTTGAATGCTCAGCATTAGATACCGCTACCACATAACCCTTCATTGTGTGCTGCTCATCATATCTTGCAAAAATCCAACAAAAAGTGACGTCGACGCTCTGGACGGAGGTGACAGTGGGAAAGAGAATACAGGTACCATTAACTGATGGGCCTAAGGAGACTGTGCATCCAGGAAAATTTCCATCCTTAACAGAAAAGCTTGCGGCTTCACTTATATTTTATCAGGTAATCTCTCTGAATATCTGTTTCCAAAATCGGTCATGTAGGTTTTAAATAGCAGTCTACGGAGTAAGGAGAATCTAGTTAAACAATCAAAGACCTCTAGTGGGAAACTGAGAGAAAGCATTTGTTGCTTTTCATACTAATGGGAAAAATGTACTGTTTAAGTTTTCGATTACATGTTAAATGCTAACTTATTGCATTTTCTAAATTTTAGGCTCCTAACGTCCGCTCTAGCCCTTGCCATCCCTCATATACCCAGTTCAAGCATTGTTATCATACTCACGATTTTGACGTCCGTAGGAGTTCCAGTTGAGCAAGTATCTCTCCTTTACGCTACGGAATGGCTTCTGTAAGTTCCTCTAATCTCAGGTTCCGCCAACATTCTCGAATTGAAGTGAAAACAAGAGGTTTTAAGAAGGGCTTTCAAATGACAGAGGCTAGGTTAGCTGCTGAGTTACGGTGGAAAACATTATGACATTTTACCACTTGTTGTCTTGGCGTTTATAAAAGGAGAGTTTACTAGTCCGATAGA